TGCCCCCCCCCCCGCCACCGAGGCAGCCGTGTGAGCCCAAGGCCTGGTTTCAGGGCAGAAGTTCAGGCAGGAGGGGACAGGGAGGCCATCAAAAGCCTCAAAAGCAGAAGCAGCCTAGAAACGAAACCACCAGCTCTGACCCAGGAACAGCCGGGCCCAGCTTCCCCTGCAGGCGCTCGGCTCCTCGTTTCCACAAGTGACCCAGCAGAGCAGTCACCGGGAGGAGGCTGCGCGGACGGGGCGGCTGTCCACACACCGGGGGCCAGGCCCCCGGCCACAGCAGAGCAGTCACCGGGAGGAGGCTGCGCGGACGGGGCGGCTGTCCACACACCGGGGGCCAGGCCCCCGGCCACAGCAGAGCAGTCACCGGGAGGAGGCTGCGCGGACGGGGCGGCTGTCCACACACCGGGGGCCAGGCCCCCGGCCACAGCAGAGCAGTCACCGGGAGGAGGCTGCGCGGACGGGGCGGCTGTCCACACACCGGGGGCCAGGCCCCCGGCCACAGCAGAGCAGTCACCGGGAGGAGGCTGCGCGGACGGGGCGGCTGTCCACACACCGGGGGCCAGGCCCCCGGCCACAGCAGAGCAGTCACCGGGAGGAGGCTGCGCGGACGGGGCGGCTGTCCACACACCGGGGGCCAGGCCCCCGGCCACAGCAGAGCAGTCACCGGGAGGAGGCTGCGCGGACGGGGCGGCTGTCCACACACCGGGGGCCAGGCCCCCGGCCACAGCAGAGCAGTCACCGGGAGGAGGCTGCGCGGACAGGGCGGCTGTCCACACACCGGGGGCCAGGCCCCCGGCCACAGCAGAGCAGTCACCGGGAGGAGGCTGCGCGGACGGGGCGGCTGTCCACACACCGGGGGCCAGGCCCCCGGCCACAGCAGAGCAGTCACCGGGAGGAGGCTGCGCGGACGGGGCGGCTGTCCACACACCGGGGGCCAGGCCCCCGGCCACAGCAGAGCAGTCACCGGGAGGAGGCTGCGCGGACGGGGCGGCTGTCCACACACCGGGGGCCAGGCCCCCGGCCACAGCAGAGCAGTCACCGGGAGGAGGCTGCGCGGACGGGGCGGCTGTCCACACACCGGGGGCCAGGCCCCCGGCCACAGCAGAGCAGTCACCGGGAGGAGGCTGCGCGGACGGGGCGGCTGTCCACACACCGGGGGCCAGGCCCCCGGCCACAGCAGAGCAGTCACCGGGAGGAGGCTGCGCGGACGGGGCGGCTGTCCACACACCGGGGGCCAGGCCCCCGGCCACAGCAGAGCAGTCACCGGGAGGAGGCTGCGCGGACGGGGCGGCTGTCCACACACCGGGGGCCAGGCCCCCGGCCACAGCAGAGCAGTCACCGGGAGGAGGCTGCGCGGACGGGGCGGCTGTCCACACACCGGGGGCCAGGCCCCCGGCCACAGCAGAGCAGTCACCGGGAGGAGGCTGCGCGGACGGGGCGGCTGTCCACACACCGGGGGCCAGGCCCCCGGCCACAGCAGAGCAGTCACCGGGAGGAGGCTGCGCGGACGGGGCGGCTGTCCACACACCGGGGGCCAGGCCCCCGGCCACAGCAGAGCAGTCACCGGGAGGAGGCTGCGCGGACGGGGCGGCTGTCCACACACCGGGGGCCAGGCCCCCGGCCACAGCAGAGCAGTCACCGGGAGGAGGCTGCGCGGACGGGGCGGCTGTCCACACACCGGGGGCCAGGCCCCCGGCCACAGCAGAGCAGTCACCGGGAGGAGGCTGCGCGGACGGGGCGGCTGTCCACACACCGGGGGCCAGGCCCCCGGCCACAGCAGAGCAGTCACCGGGAGGA